CCATTTTGAAGTAGTACTCATGCACATGTAACTGTCTCAAAGAGAAACGATTTTATGTTTGATTATGTAAATTAAGGATATGGAATGTGTGCTTAGGGTCAGAAAATGTATTGTATTATACCATGTGAAATTTATGCTTAATTAATAGTATAAAATGGTTGTGTATGTACGCAGAGCAGTTGCATTTGTATTAATGTTTGTTTATCATGGTACTCGGACATATTAAGGTTGTTTATAATTAATATATATATATATATATATATATAATTATCATGTACATTATGTAACACCCTAAGATTCTTCTATTTTTTAATAATTATTAATTAAGGGGAATGAGGATGATTTTATTTTATATTATGATTGATGGTTATTATTTTATTTCAATAGATTTAATTATTAAGAAGATAATCATATATTATTAAGAGAATAAAGGAATTTTAGAGAAATAAGGTATTATTATATTATATATTAGAAGAGAAGGGAGAGGAGTTGTTATTATTAATTATTCATTTCACATCCTCTAATGCTCGGGTGCTCTGAAGAATAGACATCAAGAGAACAAGGAGAAAAGTCACCAGAGAGGAGCTAGAAACATAGATCAAATATTTTTGCATCACTCTTGTAGACACCCAATGATAGAAGAGGTTAGGAGGAGTGGAAGATGACTTCTCCTTAGCTCTCCTTATGCACGGATCTTCTTCAATGGAGGTTGAACACGAATTGAGGAACCAAAGAAAGAGGAGAACTCGTAGGTAGGAAGGCCTAAGCCTTGAAGGAAGCATCCAAGCTCAAGCACTCAAGGGATTGCACACTTCAAAGAGAAGGAAACTAGGTTTTCCTAAGGGAATTTGAAGGCACTCTCTATGGCTCTCTCTTAGAATTTCGGTGACTCTTGAAGATGGTTGAATTCAATTCAGAAATCTCATATATTCAAAAGTGAATACAATAGGTGAAGGAATAGCTTAAGTAGCAACCGGTTTTGCACATTTTTGATAATAAATGTTAATATATCATTAAAAAAATATAAATACATATTACAGTGACACATAATGCATGTTGAATTTTATTTAAAATCATCATTAAAATTCTGTGTAATTATATATTAGATAAATTTATATTTATATATATTATATATATAGTGATATTTTTTTATATTAATTATTGTTTGTAATATTCTTTTATTTTTTGTAATACAATGAAATTTTTGTTACTTTTTCTTATGAAGAAAAACTTTTAAAAAAAATTGCATATTGAAAGACACTTTAGAAATATAAAAGCTATTCATTTATGTTAACTGAGTATGATAAACGTGGATAAACTCTGAGATCCATGCATGTATCCAGTTTTTCTTTTTGTACATGCATGTATCAAGTTCAAATCACTGAAAAAACATTTTTTTCGTGGTCTATCACGTACATCTATGATATCAAAATAAAATACAGCGTTTATATTTAACATGATATGTATCAAAAATTATATTTAACATGATATAACTTATATAGGGGTTTCAAATATTCAATATCAATAGGTTGCGTATAACTATTTATGCGTGGATATAAGAAGTGTTGAACAACATTAAACTACGTTTATGGAAGTGGATAATTAGTTTTGTCTGTGTGTTCTTTTAGTTATATTAACTAGTATCATAACCCGAATTTATATTTTTTATAGTCTCGACTTTGAATTTGTATTTGTAATTATGTTTTTGTGTTCCTTGTAATGGATTAGAGTACCTTTTATACTTTTTTTTAATTTAAATTTCTCTTGCTTATAAAAAAAAATAAAAAATTATACGTGGATATTTATCGTAAATTATAATTATTTGATCACATAGCTATGTCAAATATTGACTCGGTTGCCTCTATAGCTAGTTTTTTTTTTCAAACCAAGGTATATTTACCAGTCAAAAATTAATAACTAATTTCTCAAAATATTAAAATTCATCTTTAAGAAATTGTTTTGATAAATATTTTCATTTACATAGACAAGGAATTGAACCCTCACATATGATAATATGTGATTAGTTAAGTTGATATTTATTACAAATTACATTTATAATTAATTTTTTTAACTATAAAATTAGTACAAAATACATATCTATTTAACATAATCTATTTTATATCTAAAATTAGGTTTGAATCCTAAAACAAATTAATTAAGAGATATAAACTGTTAGTATTTATATCAACCTGTGTTTGGTTATAATTATTCAAACTTTTGTGCTGCAACTGTAATATTTTGCCCTTTTTTAAAAAAAATAAAAAGGTAAGTCCACTCTTTATTGAAAAATGTTTCTCATATTGAATATTCTAGACTTATAGAATGAAATGACACTCAAGGAAGGGATTCATATAAGTTAATAACACAGAAAAAACAATAATATCGTACTAAACATGTTTTACGTTGAGATTATTTTGGTCGGTTGTTTGAAGTTCCATGAATCACTGATTTGATTTGGAAGTACGAAACAGAAGGAAAAGTTAGTGAGTTCAACTACTCCAGTTTTCATATGGGTATTTATTTATCTTTTTCCACACTCATCTTGTTTCCTCTATGTTGGAAAAATAAAATAAAATAAAATAAAAATGATTTGAATGTATGTCCTCACTCCTCAGTGCCCACTGCTTCCATTGTCCACCAGAGAAGCATGTGTCTGGCACCCCAAAAGAAAAGAAAGATTTGTTTGGTAAAGTGTTGGGAAGCTCCAACTCAAAGCATGAATTTGTAGAAACTTTTTGGCAGCAAATTAATATTTTATGCAAAAATTTGGTTTGCTAGCATATGCAATAATGCAAAGTAGAAACACGCATATCATTAAAGTTAGTTCCTCTAGAACGAGTGGCGGTGTAGCTAACATGATTTGGTTGTACTCTGTTTTCATTTAATGTTGATACACGTCTTCTCCAAACAAGGGGACCAGGGATTACACACTCCCTCCAATCTCCATCACTATCTTATTAATTAATATAATACACTTAATTTTTTGGCTACTGTTGTTGTGACCATTATGACCACCACTCCGATTACCATAACATGTCATATCCATTACTTATTATTGTTATCATTTCCATTACCTATATCCCCATTTGTGTTGTTCATAATCATGATCACCACCATAACTATGTAATTATCTTCCCTCCCTCCCTATGCACCTCACGATCTGCAAATAATGATCACAATCACATAAGCATACTTTGAACCAAGTTGCAATATAATCTTGAGCCCAATTTTAATTTTTTTTTCTTCTTTTAAACATATTCACGTACATTTTCAGTTATCCAAATCAAATTAACCCAAATTTAATTAGGATAATTTAGTTTAAGTTTTGTCAATTTGTTTAAACCAAATAAATCCCGGAGTTAAATTTTCTATTAATATTGTTTCTACCAATGATTAACGGGCGGTTAATCATACTAATCGTTGATAAAAAACCATATTTCAACTTATTCATAATTTATTATATTATGCTTTATATTATTTATATTATATATAAAGGAGATAATGGTGTGTAACTACACTCATTAAAAAAATTAATTCAAATTGGTCGGTAAAAAATTATAAATACTTTAAATTTAGAGAAAAATAGTAAATTTAAACATTAAGCAGAGTAATAATAAACTAATAAAGTATAGTTTGAAAACCATAGTTTAAAATGATTTGAAAAATTAATTTTAATATGATAATTAAAAAATGAAAATAATATAATTCAATATTTTAAATATAAAAAATAATCCATATATATCAAATAGGAATCTCTATCTTGCGTGAGTGTTTTTGGAAAAAAATTTTCGACAAAAGAATTTGTAAAATTTTTTATAATCTCTTATTTAACTTGGTTTATATTTATCATAATTATTTATTAATTAAATATTAAAACTTTAAAATAAATTATCAATAAATAATTTTTTTTTACAATATAAATTATTTATTATAAATCTAAAATATAATTTATATATTTAAAAATATTTATATATAATTATTTTAAATCTAATTTATATATTTAAATAAAGTATTTTTATATATAATTTATTATAAATTTTAATTATATTATATATAATAAATATGTATGTGCATTCTACATATTCAAATACTATTTATTAAAAATGTTAAAAGTACGTATTATAAACGATGAATGTCTTTGAGTGGATCGGAATTTATATTATAATCATTAATAAAACTAGAGTGTAAATTATAAATGACTAATTATAATTGTGTAATAAAAACTACTTCATCTATCCTAAAAAGAAAAGTGTCATGTAAAAAATAAAAGTCTCAAAATAAATATTATTTTAAACTTTTTAATATACTATTATTTTTTATTTATCTATGATAATATATTTTAAAAACATTGTTATGTTGCATCATTTTTAAGAAAATAATAATAATAATAATAAAGTTAATTTTATAAATTATTATTTTATTTCATCATTTTATTAATATTTTTGTTTGTATAAAAAAGTTTTGAACAACATTATATGTTAGAAGAAATGTATAAAGGAGAAATGCTAATGAAATTCACTTAAATGTTTTTTATTATTGATTGAAATTTACAAATTTGAGTAAATTTTACTAGTAAATTATGTGAGATCCATTAAATGAAAATATTTGATCATAAAATTTATGATTTTTAATAAGTTTAATTTAATAATAAAAGAAATGTCAGGAAAAGAGTAATAAAGAAAATGTGGTGAGGATTATACACGTGTAACTGTGTAAGATTGTGTTGGAAAATTTGGACTTGAATCCTGAAGTTTATGTTTATGTAAGCGTAAGCGTAAGCGTAAGGCGTGTCTTCCAAAGTCCATTGAGTTGAAAGAAACAAATTCGAAGTGGTATCTTGCTAGCTCTCACTACTACAATTATTAATAATTAATAGTGGGTCATGTCATGTCTGCGTACCAACTCTGCCTAATTTTCAACCCAAGAACTCTTATTACCTTCGTGGGAACCTTCATTTTTTTTATCTATTTATTTGGACTATGAGATTCCTCTATCAAATTCAAAGATAAATTTGTGCTCTACATGCTATAAATAAGCACCCCCTCTCAGACTTGTTGTTCATTGCAAGACATTGATTTCCTCTGTAAAATATCCATAGCACACTCAAAAGGCTTTTCTACCTGACTTAGATTTCATTGATTCTTTTCAATACATTGCTACATCATATTCTAAGGACAATTAAACATAGACTACATGGGGTTGATGGCCGTTGACCAAACTCACTTGTTGTCTAAGATGGCCACCGGGGATGGGCATGGTGAAGCATCCTCATACTTTGATGGATGGAAGGCTTATGATAAAAACCCCTTTCATCCCACTCAGAATCCTAATGGGGTTATCCAAATGGGTCTTGCAGAAAATCAGGTACAATTACATAACTTTGGATATAAATTAATTATTTTTTCATGTTAACTAATTCTAATTAATTCAATTATCTTAAATTTTTGCAGCTTACTTCTGATTTGGTTGAAGATTGGATACTGAATAACCCACAGGCTTCTATTTGCACTCCAGAAGGAATAAATGATTTCAGAGACATAGCTAACTTTCAGGATTATCATGGTCTACCCGAGTTTAGAAATGTGAGTTACAAAATAATTAAAAATTTGTCCGTATTGCTCACTCAATGTATTATGAAGTTGAGTTTGATTAGTGATATTTGATACACTAACTAAATATGAATTAAAAACTTGTACAGGCTGTGGCTAAATTCATGTCTAGAACAAGAGGAAACAGAGTCAAGTTTGACCCTGACCGTATCGTTATGAGCGGTGGAGCAACTGGAGCACACGAGGTCACTGCCTTTTGTTTGGCAGATCCCGGTGACGCATTTTTGGTGCCTATACCCTATTATCCAGGGTAAGTCTTCAATTCAATTTCACCCTCCTTTTTCATTTTTTTTTTAATAAATATTATTCGTTAATATTTTTTGGGGACATAAATTTAGAAGAAAATGATGGATGAAGCATGTCGTGACTTTTTTTAATTAAAGTAGATTTGATCTCCACTGAATCGCCTTTCTGTTCATTTAACATTCCATTATTTAAGTGCATGGTGGAGTTCAGGATAATGATATTTGATGGCACTAGCACTACTTTTAAAAGGGAATAATTTTGCAGTTTCAACTTTCAACCTTCATAATTTGGAAGTAGTCAACGATCATATATATATATATAAAAAAGCCTTAAATTAAGGTCAAAGTCACACACCACAATCGTATAGCAGTTTGACCATGAACATTATTTGATGCATAAACCATATATATTTATTGACATTTACATTTTAATGTGTTTCTAATGATAAGCTGAATTTCCTAATGCAGATTTGACCGGGATTTGAGATGGAGAACAGGAGCTCAACTTGTTCCAGTTATGTGCGATAGCTCAAACAATTTCAAGTTGACAAGGCAAGCATTGGAAGATGCTTATGAGAAAGCCAAAAGGGATAACATAAGAGTAAAGGGTTTACTCATAACCAATCCATCAAATCCATTAGGCACAATCATGGACAGAAACACACTAAGAACAGTGGTGAGCTTCATCAACGAGAAGCGTATCCACCTTGTGTGTGATGAAATATATGCTGCAACAGTTTTCGGCCACCAAAATTTCATAAGCATAGCTGAAATATTGGAGGAAGACACAGACCTAGAATGTGACCGCAACTTGGTTCACATTGTTTATAGTCTTTCAAAGGATATGGGGTTCCCTGGCTTCAGAGTTGGCATCATATACTCTTACAACGACGCTGTTGTCAATTGTGCACGCAAAATGTCAAGCTTTGGGTTGGTGTCTACACAGACTCAGTATCTTTTAGCATCAATGCTATCTGATGATGAGTTTGTGGAAAGGTTTCTGGCAGAGAGTGCCAATAGGTTGGCACAAAGGTACAGGGTTTTCACTGGGGAATTGATGAACGTTGGCATAAAGTGCTTGCAAAGCAATGCTGGTCTCTTTGTGTGGATGGATTTGAGGCACCTTCTCAAGACGCCAACTTTAGAGTCTGAAATGGAGCTTTGGAGAGTGATCATTCATGAAGTTAAGATCAACGTTTCACCTGGATCTTCCTTTCATTGCACTGAGCCAGGGTGGTTTAGGGTGTGCTATGCTAACATGGAGGACATGGCTGTGCAAATTGCTTTGCAAAGGATTCGCACCTTTGTGCTTCAAAACAAGGAGGTCATGGTGGCTAACAAGAAACAATGTTGGCAGAGTAGTTTGAGGCTGAGCCTCAGAAAATCAAGAAGGTTTGAAGAAATCTCGATGTCACCTCACTCCCCCATACCTCAGTCTCCTCTAGTTAAAGCCACAATTTGAGTTGGCATGTTTCTCTGTGCCCTTTAGAAGAAATAACTGATACGAAGATTATTGATTTTCTGATTTGTTATTTTGGCAAGGTACATAAATGCTGGATTTGATCTTTTTAACAACAATAACAGGAAAATCCTGATATTGTTTATGTTACCAACATCAGTATCTGTGCCTTGCTTCATAGAACTTGTGCTGCATGATGCATGTCCCTTCAATCTTAGGGGAATTTTTTCTTTTTTCACTTGCCAAATAATGGGTTCAAGGTGAAAAAAGTTTAGAGTTTGTAAGGTTATTTGTTTATTAGAAGAGTCCTGAAGATGTCTGTATTTCACTATTTCTGTTACTGAAATTGTAAGGTCAATGATAAATAAATTGTTATCAAAGGATCTTCATTCTTCAATACTCACGCCCTTTTCTTTGAGACAAAAGAAAATCTGATATTGCAAAATGACTTTAAAAAACAAGCATGTTCTTCATTTGCCAAATATTCTGTTATATAAGGATTAAGGACATTGATTCTTGAATGGAAAATAATAGCTCGTACTATTCCACTTTGTACAAAAGACTCCTACATGTTTTCCTCTTCATTTGTTAAACACTACCCGATAAACATTCGTTGGAAGCTCCTTAAATCAAAAAGTGATAAATACAAAAAAGATGAATCATATGTTACCTTTTCGTAGGAGATGCTCGCTTCAATTTCAGGAATTCTTTTCTTTTTTAAGCAGCTTTTGACAATTGTTAATACTTATCTCAGAAGAATGAAAATTATAAAATAAAAAGAAAGTAGATTGTATTTTACATTAAAAAGAAGAAAAGCATGTCTCCTTTGCACTGTCAGTTACGTGTAAGTGTATAATTCCTGTCGTGGATGATACAATTTTTAAGTATTAACTCCCACCAACTGAGTTGGCCACGAAGATAAAGTGAAGTTACAATTTCATGCAAGTTAGATATCGATAAAGTTTCTAATTTCTGTTAGCAAAGGTATATGTATTAAGTGTCCGTCTCAAACAGGATTGTAGGTGGAAAAAAAAGTATACACAAAAGACATGCAAATGGTATAGAGAAAGAACAGACAGTTTTTTTTTTCTTTCGAAAAATAAGAATAAATCTCTACCGTTTATTAATATTACACTAGTTTCTCTTCCATTTATTAATATTACAACGTCAAAAGCACACTTAACCAGATCAAGATGTTAGAGGTATTATTTGAACAGATATATAAAAGCAATATGGTGGCCGGTGAGCTTTATTTTTTAAACTTGGTTAATTATCTCAATCTTAAGATGTGCACTTCATAACCACTCACTGTCTTACATATAGCACAAACTCAAGGATAAGATTTGAAGCTGTAATTAAGAACAGTTTTCTTAAACAACCCAAGATTAGTTAGACGTTGGTTCCAAACACCATATATGACGAATGACATCACTTTGTATACCCTGAAGGTTACGGAAATACTGAAAGCCAACCATGGTAATGGTATGATTAGATGTGACACGAAGGATGACCTAAGCTAATTTGCATTTAAATGGTTGTTTCTTTTCTTGCTATGAACTTGGGTTAACAGATGAAATCGCCACTGATTATTATAATAGGGATAACATATTTTAGAATGGATCACATCATTGATGACTGTATCATCTTAATAATAAAAAGGCTTTAATTAGTTACAAAGAGTTCTAGGATCTTTTACGTAAGCAGGGGATTCATATTTCGTTTACTTCTTGTTATTGTCAAAATCTGCACCTAAAATTAACAGAAAATTATCAGAGAGCTCGTCATTCAGAATTTAATAGACCCTCGTACACTTTCTATTTCAAGTCGTCAAGACAGGCCGTTGATTCTTTCAGTTATTCAATATTAATTGTTAGTTGATTAAGATTTCAAGAAATGTTGATCATTTTGTTTTTCTGTTATGTTTTACAATGACGGGATTACATGTGATTTATTTTTAAGAGCACTAATTTAGTAAATTATACTTCATCTCTATGTAAAGAGTAATAACGTGTTCGAATTTTATTATCGTATTTACAATATATTATTAATAAAATAAATAATAATATTTGTAACTAGGGGCGGAGGGAAAGGGGATTGGAGGGCATGATCCAGTCCAATCTCTCCATATTTTTCAAATATATTTAAATTGTTACAAAATAATTTAATAAACCCTTACATTTATGAAAAAATATATTAAAACTATACATGAGAACCGTCTGTTTGTTGGTTGACATTTAATAATAATAAAAAATATATATATATATATATATATATATATATGATAGACAATATAGTGTGATAAAAAGAAAAATAAAGATAAATTATAAGTAATAATAAAGCTCTTATGATATTGAAGTGTGCACGTATAATTATGTAAAATTGTTTCATTTATTTGATTTATTTTTTCTGATATACTACCTTTAGTCTTATAAATAATCATCTTCCATGAAAATAGTCGAGTTAGTTAATTTTAATCAATAATATCACAAACTTAAATTTTATTTTAAAAATATGCATGGTATTAAATAGTTTAAATAATAATTATATTTAATGACATTTCTTATGGTATTTTATTAGTAAATATCGTCATAAATTAACGGTAAATATCATGATAAATTAATAAGATAAAAGTAATGTAATAAATATGTTTGAAAATAAGTTTATGTTTCATATAAGTTAACAAAATAAAAGGAATACATAATAAGTCATGTTTTTAACAAGTCACTTTTTCTAGTATAGTGGATGAAAAGTTGAACTAATTTGACTTATTTTTATTTATCTTTTATAAGAAAATAAATTATTAGTTCAACTTAAGTTATTTGATATATTGGATTAAGTTAAATTGATATTATTTATTTTAAATTGTCCTTTTTTAAGCTCTTTGAGTCATCTTTCGTATATTTTATTGTCTTATTTAAAGTTGTTTGCTTAAATTCTAATGCTAATTCTTTGCTTAATGAATTCGAGATGTGTTCTCCAAGAAAAATACCTCACAACTTCCGATTATTAATGAATAGAACATTTAATAGAGTTCATTTTAGGAGCCTCAAATTATTTATGAATATTTATAAATACTTACAAATATTTATAAAATTTATAAATAAATATGTGAACAAATATGAAATAAATATATGATCCATTTTTATCAAACAAGATAAACTAGGAAAGATAGCTATTTATATCTATCTTATCCTGTTATTTTCTATGAATAGGAGATTTGTTTTTAAAAAAGACTTTAATATTTCAGTTTTAGACATTATTTTTACTGAATAATTAATTATCAACAAACTAAGAATACTTTTAAAAGAAAATATTAATGGGTACACATTTCTTGAAAAAGTTATTTCCTGGATTATTTTCTATTGTTGCAGATAAAAATTCAAATATTGAACAAATGAGTGTTTTCTCTGAAACTGGGTGGAGATGGGTGTGGAAGTTAGACCTCGCTTTCAATGGGAGGAGAATTTGCTACAAAATATGTTTATGATTATCTCTAGCTTCTATCCAAACGTGGGGGTAGAAGATGCCTGGAGATGGGGTCCTAGAAGTTTCTTTATTGTATTCGACACCTACAATTTACTTATTTCTTTGGATCAACTCATTCTGGATGAGGTGGCAGATCTTTTGAGCAAGCTTTGGTCTTCTTTTGTACCTCCTAGGATTATTTTCTTATCATGGTGCATACTTCAAAATAGAATCTCCAGATAGATCAATTGATTGTTCGAGGAATGACCTTTTCTGATCCACAACTATCATGTCCATTTTGTTCTAATACTTTGGAATCATCACAACACTTATTTCTGTAATGTGAATTTTTCAGAAATGTTTGGTATAATGTTTTTATGTGGTCAGAGATCCACTTGGAACTTCTGTCCTCTTTGGGTCAAATATTTTTCCTCCTCAGGAGCATGTTTCTAGGTAAAGCAAAAAGAAAATGGAGGGATATTTTTTGGCATGCAACAATTTGAGTTATTTGGACCAACAGGAATGAAATTGTTTTTAGAAACAAATCAGTGTTGCATTTTGATTTTCTTTATCAAATTAAAATTACTTCCTGGCATTAGTGGATGTATAAGAATGGTTGTAGGCTAGATTTTACTTTTGCATCTTGGTGCATTGACCCATGTCTTTGTATTTTGAGGAGTTAGCTAGTGGGTTATTAATGTATATTTTTTTGGATTTAGGCAATTTTGCTTATGGAGATTCTTATTCTACTTTGTATATAACTTTTGTATAATCTCTTTCTTTTGTTTTACTAATATATGAGATGTGTTTTTTTTATAAAAAAAAAAAAAAAAAAAAATTAATGAGTTTTTTTTGTTATGATTTATTTTTAGGAGTACTAATTTAGGAAGGTTTTCCCCCCAAATATACTTAAACTTTACATAATGAGCGATGATATAATATAATTACAAATTTCATTCTTATATTTCTTTATCTTTCACATATTTTGTTTGTTTGTGTATAGAACGACAACACACGGGCTAATTAGTTTATTCTTATGTATGCCACTGGGCGGTGGTTTGTCAACATCAAGAATTTAAGACAGCAAAAAAAAATTATAATCCAAGTTTTCATGGTTAGATATACATTGGAGAGTGGACAAGGTCACACTCGATGATGCTATGCTTCATTGATTATTATCTCAGCCCCTAATGCACTGCAAGAGTCACTAGGTTGAAGACCTACTTGATCCTAAACAGATTATGGGTCAATACTATTACAAATAGAAAGACCTATTAGATTTAATTAGAAGGATACGAAGCACGTGGTAGAATAACATTTACACGGAATTCCACCTTCCGATTCACTATATAAACGGGGAATGGGGTGTGACATAAGCATATATTTTTTGGTTAGTTTGGTGACCCTTCCTTCAGTGGGTCAAGCTACGAACCACAAATTCAAAGCCACACTCCAATTTCTACAAATCAATGTCACTTTCCAAACCCTTTTTTAAAGCTGAAAATCCCATATTTACTAATATTATAGTTAAAATAATATATATAAGTGAGAGATTAACATTCACTTAATCAATTAATTTTTTTAAGTTAAATCTAAATTCAAAATTCGTATCAAAACTTACTAAAAATTAATGTTTATTATCAAAACTTATTAAAGATTAATATTTATTATAAGCTTATTATAGTGTTAAAGAAATTGTTAAATGATATGATAAAATAGTGTGTATAAATAAAAGTAGAACAATGATTACTTCCGAACTACTTTTTAAGGTTAAGTTGACAAGTTCAAATTTTGAGATAAAGTCTCACTTTTATAATTAAAATAAAACATAAATACTTTCTTACTTGATTTTATATAATAATAACAATAAAATATAAATTTAAAATCTTATTTATATTATCTCAACTCCACTGCTAAATTATATATTTTCTTAAACTAAACTGGCTTAAGCATTTTAATTTCATTACATATACAACTTAACATTCATCGGTTGTTGAGGCAACCCTACCATAAAACTTGTTAAACAAGAAGACATGCTTCCAGCCGCAAGCTACCTCTAGATATTATTAGGTCACTGGTTTTGCCAACAAATTTAAAACCACGAGTCAATATTTTTATCTTCTGAATATAAAAAAGTCCCTAATATCGTCATCATATCTTAATTTAGATGATATAACCCTATGTTCAACATCAACAATTCAATCTTATCCCAAGAGAGAAGGTCCAAAATGTTACGGTCACCCAGCATCAATACATAGAGTAGAATACATCACATAAATTCCCAGTTGACAAGTATGATACAATTTTTAAATGGAAAATCGGTAACGCATGATTACCATATATTAATACTCTCACCCAATTACTATATCATATATATTTAAATTTTATAATTTGCGAGAGAAAAAAAACAACACTCTTATTATATATTATGTAGAGATTATTTAAGAATTATATAAATTTTTAATCTATCAAAATTATAATCATTACATCAAGATTTAAGTTTAAAACTCTGTAAATTCTACTTAAAATCATGTACATTCTACTTCCATCCTTTGTTATTAAGTCAATTTCGGTGGCAGATTCAATATTTTTTTTTTACATATTTCTTTAAATCACACATCAATTTATTCATTCATTCAAAATCTAGAAGCCTATTTTGATACATGATTAATCTCTGGATGTCTCAAAATATAATTTACACAGAAAGCATTCCTGAAAAGATGAGTTATATCAACAAATGGCACAAGCATTAGGGTTCTCTTCAGCACTCTGAACATAATAATATGTAGTCATGTGGGGATTGTAAGCTTTGTAGAGCTTGACAAGCTCCTCAATTTGTTGATTTGGATCTTTCTTCTTATCATCATCTTTTTTCTTGTTGTCATCTTTTTTGCCATCATCTTTTTTGTCTTCAACTTTCTTTTTCTCTGGCTCTTTTGCCGGCCCAACAGTTAAAATTTCAGTGTGCCAACTTTTTCTCAATTTGCTCACAACATTCACAGGGTCTATGTCACCCACTACAGTCAGTTTCTTCTCCTTCATGTCCATCGAAATCGAATCGATGCCTGCATACTCAAATTTCACAAACAAAGTAATTATCCTACTTGCATAGTTAAATACGACAACATCACCAAATAGTAATAAGCCTTGAATAAACTTTTAATCTCTATAATATATTTTTATTTTTATTTTGATTCTTCTAAAAAACAAAAGCTATTTTAGTCTCTATGAATTTTTTGTTTCATTCGTTATTTATGTTATTGTTTCAGCCGCTGTCAAATTGTTATTTTTTTTATATATAACCCATTCTTAAAATACTTTTTTTTATTATAGACCATGTTATTTTTTTCCCCAACAATTATAGACCATGTAATTTAGGAATCATGAAATCTATTTTTTAATTTCTATAAATTTCATCATACTTAACAAAAATAAAGATCAAAATGAAAAAAAAATATATTAAGACCAAAACTTGAAAAAGGAGTGAAAAGCTATTCAAGAGATTAATAAACAAATATCTGCAAGCCATTTTATTAATCAGCGTTCACTGTTATCAGTATTGAGTAGCAACAAAATAAAAGTCCATTCCTGTAAATAAATATATATCTTTTCCTTTTTAATATTGACGATTTGGTTTTCAGAATATTATGGTTGATAGTTTGGTTTAATGAAAGATTCTCACAAACTAGTGGACAAAATCATTCTATTATATATATATATACGAGGGGTTATAATCATACTGGTGTAATTTTTATTAAGTATTATACTGTTCAATAATTTTATATTAATTAGGAATTATAAATTTAATTATTAAATTAAAAGTTTATATCTTGAAAAAATTACACTAGTATAATTATAATCCATTCATTTTTGTATATATATATTGAATGCTTCCTTTGGTCCCAATAATTTTCTGATATTTTAATTAATGATTGCATTGATATTAAATAAAAGAGACAACTTAGATACAGTGTTTAATGTTTTATTGAAATTAAAATTACTTATGATATATTGTATCTAATTCTTGTCAAACATATTTTTTCTTTAAATTTTGAACTAATGCCAAAATATAAATTCTTATAACAATTTTAATGGAAACCAAAAAGACAGACTAAATTGGTGAATCCAACTTAAACACCACTTTCTGCGTACCTGATAGGCTAGAAACCGATTTCATGGCCTTCTGCTTTGCTTTGTCATCGTGCAAATCCAACTTAACCACCACTTTCTGCATCAAAACAAAAGAAAAACATCCAAAACACTTAGACAAACGATACAACATTTCTTTTACAACAATAACAATTTGAGCATAAGATCTCATGCAAATCATCTATTTTTTCACTAAATCGTCTTTAGTGGGTTACTAGTTACTAAACATGTTAAACTTTCTCTGTATTGTTTTGTGAAGTGTTTAATTTCTTCTGAAAAAATAAAAGCCAAGGGAAGAAGAGATGCAAAATTATAATGTAACAAAGATATGTATATAGTATATTATAATCTGCACCAACACAGTCATAGTTGAATTAAATAATACATATGAAACGAGTTAGAAAATGGATATGATAGTAATAAAACAGAGTAGGGTGGGGGGATATAAATATGAAAATCTACTTAAACAAAGAAAAAAGAGGTATTGTTCAAAATGAAAAATGAAAGAATCATTAGAAAGGGACATATGAAAGGCAAAAACCTATAAAAGAGAGAAACAGAACAACATTAAGTGGTGCTCTTGCATAAAAAAACAGATCAGGAAAGCTCACCTTCATTTACGGTTGGGTCTAAGTTTTGACGATCACTGAAGAGTTATGATAGTATTTTATTTTGAAATAGTCAATGCGAAAGTGTGAAAGAGAAGAAGAAGAGAAGGAAGGAGCAGAGAAATATGCGATGCAATTTGAGTGTGTGGAGGATGGACCAACTTTGGCAACGAAGGATGTTATATAAATCCAAAACAAGTCAAACAAATGCCGTATTAGTTAAATATTTGATCCAATGAGAGTGTTGAGCAAGGAACCAATGAAAGAATGACGTAAGAGATGGCCTTATATTAGCCAAACAAATCAATTTTCTATCTTCGACCTTTCGACAGGAGAAAGCCTTGACGAAGTCTTTCGTCTTTGCTATGACCTTTTATGAGTCATGTTACATGCCTACGCACTTGCCTGTAGGGCCATAACAAAAGAAAAAACATTTTATGTGATTACTCTTCATATTTAAATGTGCATTTTATGTATTATTTTCCGATTAATTAAAAAATCTCTTAATAATTTCAAAGTAGTTTGTTTTTATCTTTATATGTATCCTTCATTCATGTGTCTCTTTGAATCCATTATAGTTAATCTCTATGTCTAAATAGAATTCAATAAAATGTTAAAATAAATTATCTATAATTATTAATATATATATGCAAAATGTTTGTTTAATATGAATTTAATTATAACATTTCATATATTCAAAAAAATTAATATTATAAAAATCAACATTTCTCCTATATATCACACTTACTATGCTTAGTTTGATATCAGTATACTTGCAAGAGGATTAATTGATTGTCATTCTATAATTTAAGTAAAATATGAAATTAAAAATAGAAAATCATATTAGTTATTATATTGACAAAAAAAATTAGAAATCACAAAATTATATCGTTGTATTTTAAGATGATTAATTGAATGTAATCAAAAAATTAAAATGAAACTTTTTGCTTTATTTTTTTTTTGTAATAATTGTTTTAAAATTTAGAATTATTTTATTTTCTAAATTTAAGATTTACAGTTTAGGTTTAGTTATGTTAAGTAAAAACAATTTTGTATCGATTCACCTACTAGATATTATAAATGATGAAAAAGGACGGGGGGCGGTTCAAATATAGAAAATAAATATAAATATTACGCTCTGTTTCTTTACGATGAAGACCTGTAGTTCTTTGATGTAAAAGAAACTAATAGTATTAAAATCATTGGTCTCTTTCTCTGCTATTGAAATGATACATTATTAAAAAGTTATTTTAAACAACAACGTTTTAATTGTTAATTTTATTTTATAAATGTTTTTATAACTAAAAAATATAACTCATTTTTACTGAATCAACTTATTTTTAAAAAATAAAATAATACTTTCGATCATAATTCCATTCCCAAGTCAAATATTTAAGTATTCAATCTCGATTCTTAATAAATTAAGAAACATATCAAACAATTGTGTTAAAAATGTTCAATGGTGTTATTTTTTTAGTTAAGTGAACAAGTATTTAACTTTGGACATCCTAAAAGATTTCTTTAGATATAGGATGTAATTTTATTTTAGTATGTTTTAATTCAAAGCATACAGTAAATGTTTTTATTATTAATTTAAGGTCATTGTGTCTAACAGTATTGATAAGAGCTTATAATAAATACTTCAAATAATTTATTAATAAAGAATTACTTACAAAGGTTAAAATCATTTTATTAAGGATTAGAGAGGTCGAGGCATTTTATATTTTTAATGATTATACAGATAAATATTAGAAAATATAAAAAAATATAAAAAAAATTTTCATTTAAAGATATAAAGATCCACTAAAAAGTAGAAATCAAAATAGTGCTTACTAAAATATATCCCCTTTATAATAGGTATAAATATTTTAGAAATAATTTTAAAAAAAAAATTAACAAGAATTTTGTACTTATTTATAATGACGAATTAAATTATTTTAGATTTCGATACATTTTTTAGTCCTCTTAAGAGTTCAAATATCAATTTTATCCTAAATTTCAATTAAGCAATTCGAGACTTCAATTGCATATTTACGATCTTTAAACTAAATAAATATTTCAAGCGACAAATCAATAATTTTTTGTTTGCTTACAATGATCTGCCTAAAAAAAGTTTAAATTATATATATATATATATATATATAATATATATATATTTTAAGTTCGTTCCTGGAATATCCACCGCCGACAGTAGTGATTAATTTTCTCGCTACGTTGGAGGCACCTCAAAAGGTGGGATAGCTGGCCCCAAGATTTAATGCGGCTGCATA